ATGGCTACTGAGAGGCACAGTTGGGTGCAGCATTAAGTTTTTCAGGGAGATGTTTAATACTGAATTTGTACATTAGTGTGTGTTCCTTGACATTAAAAAGATGCGAGCTCTTTATTTTCTCGAGGGCCTGATCTGAGAAAATTTTTATAAGTGGTTGACTTTCAACAGTCACTGGCAAATCTTGGCATCCCAATATAAACATCTGACATGATTCTAACCCATAGACAAGAGGCAGGGCTTCACATTCAGCTAGTGCATAGTGGGATTCTATCTTAGTGGTAAAACGAGATTTGGCCAAAATAATTTTTCAATGACCATCACCACAATTTGGTTTTACTTCGCCAGGACAATTACAGTTTTTTTGAAAGAAAAAAAAGAGGTAACTGATTGAATTTGTTGAAAGGCATGTTGTATTATCGTTTTATCAATCTTGAATGTCTTGATTCCAGCCTCAATTTTCTGCATGATTATTCACTTCAACTCCTCAAAAAGTTGGTCACGCCTTTCATCCCAATAAAATTTTTGGTTCTTCGAGTGCGGAAGGGGTCTATCAATTCAGCTTGTGAGAACACATAAGATACCTCATTCACCAGTCCAAACCAGAACTTGATGCATGTGATATTTGTAGGTGTAGGAAAGTGAAGGATGGCCTCAATCATTTTCTTTGTTGATTTAATACCATTGACTATTATTAAGAATTTGGCAAATGCCACCTCATTCTCTGCAAAATGAAACACAGTCCAATTCTTCCCACAGTGAGTTATATATTCCATTGTGTGCCAGAATGAAGATTCTATAGAATTGTCCCAAAGGAGGCTATCATCTATGCAATGGGTTTTTCAAACCATGTCCAATGTAATATCATTGAACCAATGGGTATATTCATTTCCAGATGCATGAAATCCCTGGGGAGCATGAAGATACCTGTTCTGGTTCCATTCAGTGATAAATGTAGTGGCATCTTATGCAGCTGGGGAAAGTGGTAAGCTGTTGTATATGTTCCATGCGTCCAAAAGTGTTTTCCTTTTCTGAGCCAGAACAATGGAGACCTGATTAAATGGGGACGGGGGTGTGATGGAATTCCCTCATGGAGGCAGCATTCAGTAAGTTCACTGTGTATCTGGGGAGCAGTCTTTTTTGGGTGCAACCTACCATTCTTGAGCACCAGCATGTAGGAGTGCCCATTGGTACTGGTTCAGTTATACCCAATGTGACGTCTCGATTCAGGTCATGTTTCACTCTCTTCTTCCAGTAGTTAGGAATAGAGATCAGTGTGTGGAGAGCTGACATGTTGTTTGACACATACACCACCTATCATGTCTCCCTCAAGATAATTCTTATATGCATGACCGACACACCCTTTATATGAAGCTGGTTATCTGTGATGCCACGTATTCAATGACTAGCTGGCATAAGGTACTCGTCTGGGCACCTGAGATGTTTTAATGTCTCTATTCCACTTGAATATGTTTGAGCCCCAGTATCGGCAAACGTGAGGATGCAATGACTACTGTGACTAATTGGACCAGTCTGGGTGCGTCAGAATGAAGTGTGGGTTCGATGCATTATAGCTCCTTCTACTGTTAGTGATGGTGGTAGATCTGGGACACCTACTAAAAATCGCTTTCCATTCCACGCAAAATGAGACACAGCATCAGGTGGTATTAAACCGGTTTTACAGTTCTGTTTTGATCTGCCAGCTTAGCGAATGGCACAATTGAGGGGAACTTTCATACTAGTGTTTGAGAAAGTGAATGAATCGGCCTGTATATGGTTGAAAAGGAGCCTGTTGACTTCAGGCAAGCATGTCGTTCTCAATTTGTTGCATATTTCAACTGGGTTGGCAAATTTACACATCTCCTTATATCGAGAGTCAAGGAATAATGTCCAGTCACTGTCCATTGTGTTGGCTTCAATGACAGAACTGTCCGTTTTTTTTGTTTTTTGTTTGTTTGTTTTTGTTTTTTTTTGTGTGTGTGTGTGTTGGATCTGTTTGCATCATGTTAAGGGTTCTGTCCCTCCGAAGTGCAATAGTTTCCCTTTGTAGCTCTATTATTTGTTGCACAAGTTATGTGATCAAATCGAGGTCTCTCCACCTGGTTCCATCTATTCACCAGATCCTTTTTGCAGCAACATTTAAAATAGCCACAACGGCAATGGTAGTAATAATTCTCAGTTACTTTATTCTCGTACCAACAAGATACAAATACAAAAATACCCCTGGCCCCTTTATATAACACTGGATGAGTTAATTTATGTTTGGCTGTGGAAGTTCCCCCATTATCTAATGAGACCTTTACATTTCTACACTATACAATCAAAATCCAATTAAATTATGACCACTTTTTATATTTATTTTCATGGATTTTACATATGCATATAAAAAGAAATTAGCATCAGTTTTTTAGGGGTTTTTGCATTGTTTTTCCTTCTAACTTGATGATCCAGCATGATATTTTTTTCTTAATTAACTCAAGGGAGAGAACTGCCCATCTGATTAGTCAACACCACCAAAATGGTGTTGGTTTATTGTTACTGTATATATCTGTCTTGTCATCAGCTTCATGTTGTTTGAAAATGAACCCAGGTCTTTTTTTGTTTATTATTATTATCTCTTGTTAATTGATATATTTAAGAATATATATTTTAAAATTCTTTCAAAGATGAATAATTCTCTATGAAGCTTTCTTAACAATTCGGCTTGGGGTTTACCAAAGTGCTGAACATGTAACAAGAAAAAAAAAAAGAATTAAGTCTTTTATTAAAAAAATATAGTTGAAGCCTATTAAATTGTTTGCTCATTCACTATTGTTACTCATAACTCCAGATAAAAAAAAATAACCTTGAACAATATGAATAATCTTTTGAAGATTATAAGCAAAACAAAATTAAAATAAATTTATATAATTTCTACAAAATGAAAAGAAAAAGATTTCATTGGGATCTTATAAATGTGTTTTTTTTTTTGTTTTTGTTTTGTTTTGTTTTGTTTTTTTGGCATATGAAATCACAAATAAAATAGTAATTGGTTTGTATCATTTGTGCATGAACAAGATGCCCTGAGTTCTCTGATGAGTAACTCAACAAAAAAGTAAATAAAATAAGATAAAACAATAGAAATCAATTAAAATGTCTAATTTTAGGGTCTGAATCCTTTTGGGGCAAGTATCTGGTTTTCTCACTAGTGAGTGGTTTTAGTCTGATGTTTTTTTTTTGTTTTTGCTTTTTTGTTGTTGTTTTTACAAACATTTCCAGCAAAAAGTTGGTTTTATTAGTGATAAAAAGAGAAAAGCTAAAAACCAGGCAAACAGTAACTGAAATTGAATTCTTCTTCAAAAGAGATTTTTTTGTAGAGAAATTAGCCTTTTTTGTGATTTGTTTATTGATCTGTAAAGGCGAACAATTATCAGCAAATAAAATTTCTGACTTCCTCCTTTTCTTTCCAAAATTTGACTGCATTCAACAGCATGCCATCAACACCACCCAAATAGGTGGTGTTGATGCCATAGTATTAATAAAAAATTTTTAAAAAAATTTGAATTCAAAGAGTTTTTTCCCTTAACTGACCTTATTTTAGATGCACTTTATGAACTCCTCTATAGATTTTACCATTTTAAAATTTGCCCTACACAAATCACTGTTATCAAATAATAAAAAAATAAAAATGCTTTTACATTTTAAGGACTGTTGACAGCATGTAAAAACAATTATCCCTTCAAATCTTCCCTGCCACCAAAAAATCTTCAAAATGCACTCTTCCTTTCATGAGCCATTTTTATGCTTGTTCCCAGTTGTCTTGAAACCATTTTCTACCATTTGTGACACAAATATTAGTGAATAATTGTCTCTGCATGATTTTCTCTTTTTGCAGTATGTCTAATTATATAAATAATATTTCACCAAATACATTCTTGTTTGGTTTGTCAAAATGAACATCTTTTTCAATGCATGTTATCTTTTGTGAATGTCTTTAAAAATTGACTTTACAATTTATTGTTAATCTGTTTTTTCTTTCCAATTGGATGTGTGTCATCATTAAAAAAAAAAAAAGTCTTTTTTCTTTTTTTTAGTTTAAATTATAGAATATTTAATGTTTCCTTTGGAGTTTGAACTTGAAGGAAAATTGAAATCTTTTATAATTTAAAAACTTTTAAAATCTGAAGGAAAACAACTGAATCTTCTATGATTTTGGTTCATCAATTTTCTCTTTTTAGATATCACCAGTCTTTTTTGTCTTCTGTTAAATGAGTTCATTAAAGTTTTTTTTTTCATTTTAAATTTGAATTTTTCCTTTTTAAATGTCACATAAATATTACCATTGCTAAAGGAAGGAGGTCATATAAAAAAAAAACATTTTCCCCCTACTAAAATATCCTGTTAGAACCTTTCAGTTTTATTTGTTTTTGAATTGTTCTGGACAGATTTGGCTTTGGTGAGGTATGGCACCAAAGTGATTCAGTAGAGTGATATTCTATTATTTAGTCTGGCTTGAGATCACTTGGCATTAATATAATCACAGATATTTATTTGGTTTAAATTAGCCTGACAAAAGTAAGGAGAAAAATAAAGCTGGATACAGAAATTGTTAACTGTACCATCATGACAGGCGTTAACACATAAGTTCAGATCAAGTCTCATGGCTTCTAGAGCTAACATTGGCCTGTTTAATCAGATATGATTTGTACTTAGAATTGAAGGCAACAGGATCCTGAGTTTAAACATGTTTGAAAACTTCTTTGTTTATTCCACACATTACTCAAGGTGACAGGATAACCATATGGATACCAGTTGGTGTGTTGTCCAACAATAATTCATCTTGTAAAATCCTCTTCCTTTTCTTTCCTAAATATATTCACAGTGATTTCTAAGTAACATTTTTCTCAAACTTTATTCTCTGAAATTTTCTTTTATATTTAATGTAATCAATTTGATTTTTTTTTTTTCATTTTGCCTTTCATGTCACCATTTTTTTCTTCATTTTACTTAATTTAATTTTTTAGGCCAACTTTACCAGCCAAGTCTGACTCTTCCTGCAAGGTAAAATATTTTTTCCTCTATTTTCATTTATTCATTAGCAATTGTTTTCTATCCAAGTTGCAATATTTAACCTGAATTTGTTTAATCTTGTTTTCACACAGCCGATGATGATGAAAATCAACAACAGTTGGTCTCATGATTTTATTGATCAATTTCAAGTCAATAACAATCAAAACAACAATTTGTTTGATTTACAAAAGGAGAGAAAAAAAATGATTTTTTTATGCTTCTTTGTCTTTTCTACTATTTGGACAAATTCTTTAAATTTTTCTGGTTATTTTCAGCTTACGAGAAACCAAATCTCATTTCAATCAAATCAACTAATTTTGATTATTTTCCAATGCTTCAAGTAATTAAGGATTCTGACATGCAAGGCATTTTTGGAAGACTTCAGATCCGAATATTTACCCCTATATAGACAATATCTACCAGCAAATTTAGAATTCATTCAAACTATATTTAGAGCTTAATTTATCTCCACAAACAACCTCCTCTTGTCCATCACCCACTCAAAAACCATGAAGATTGAGGTGAGGAGGTTAAACTCTTTTTGTAAAATGTTTCACTAGGAGAAAAAAAAACAGAAAAAACTTGCTTTTCAAAGAAAAACAGACATTTAGTCATTTCTATTTTGTCAAAAAGCCTTCATGTTAAAAAAGAAATATTGAAGTTACACTTGCTTGACTTGTTTTGATAGTTAAATATAAAATTGTTGAATCAATTTCTCATTAATCATTGATTGACATTTACAGTTACTTGTTTTTCATTCGTTTTTCAGAAAACTGACTTTGGGTTTTGATTGTTTTTTTTTCTAGACTTCAATATTGTCTAACTGATTGGAATCTCAATTAAAAAAATAAAAGTGGAGAGAAAATTTTGAAATTTACAAGTTAGAAAGCCAGTGGTAAACTGACTACAGATTCTAACACTTTCTCAAAATGTGGACTGTAAAAAAAAAAAAAAAATATATAATTGCTTTAAGTCCTGTTGTATAGTTTCTAAGAAATAATGTTTTGAAAGAAAAGAATTTGGAGAGAGTTTTTTTTTTTTTTTTTTTTAATTAATGAATCCACTTTTATTTTTAATGTTGTTATCATCATTGGGTCTTTCTTATTTGTCCATATTTCCATTTGGTTGATGGTGGATAAGATCAAAATCCTATATGTGACATGTTTTATTTATTTCTCAGCCATCTGCTAGTATTTCTGATGGTGAAGAGAAACACGAAGGAGAGACGGCTTGCAATGATGAAGATGAGGAACTTGAGACAGACGAAGGTCCTGATGTTGAGGGCTTGATAGACCGGATGGTGACACTGTGTCCCAGAACGAAGAGGCCAACAGACATGCCCGAAGATAACCCTCCAGAGCTTCCACCAAAGAAAAAACACCATCAACAACAGAATGGCGAGATCAAGCACACGACGGAGAATGGGGGAATTTTCACAAATGAAGAGAAACCTCCAATGTTGCCACCAAAACGTCGAGAGAAGAAAGAAACTGTAAATTTATTTCACGATTATTTATTTTCTTTTAATTTTAAAGTTTCTTTTTGTTTTTTGTATCTAAACATAAAGTTTAATTGCAGAACTGAGAATGAATTTCTTAATGATTGAAGTAATCAATCTTTTTAATGATCATCTCATATTTGCCTAACAAAATGTTGTTCATATTTTTTTTGTTTCTTCCTATTAAATCAGGAAACAAAGACATTTTTTTCTTCTTAGATTTTTCAGTTTTCTTACAAATTCAGTTTTAAATGCTTAAAATCAGTATATTATTAGAAGTTATCTAATAATATACTGATTTTAAGCATTTCTTTGATGTTAATAATGTTTGTTCATTTGGTGACAATTTTACTTTTCTTTTCTTTCTTTTTCCCCCCCTCTTTCCTGTATATAGAATAAGACCAGACCTGTTAGTAATGGACTGCCTCCAACTCCCAAAGTCCATGTGAGTATTTTCAGACTTTATAACTTAAGAGCTTGTGATGTTCAACCGTGTGGAAATATTTTGAACGTGTTTTTAGTCAGTTTTAAATTGTTTTAATAAAAATGAACAAAAATAAATTTTTCCTCTTATAAATTTTAAAATCTACATTACTTCTTTTAATTGAATGCTAATAAGTGGATTCTGTCAGGACAAACATTTTTTTTATTATACTTACACTTTTCAATTTTGCAATGTAATTTTTCATCTCTAAACTAAATGTTCCTCCTAATTAAAAAGTTCATATTAAGCAATTTATTTTTGTGATTTAATCCTGATAGCTTTCTCAACTTAGAACAAAATTTTGTTTATTTGATTTCAATCTTTTATAATGTTTGGATGTTTAATTCTGAAAGATCATCAAAGTGGAAAATGAGGAAATGAATTTTGGTTACATTCTTCTCATTGTTGTTCTTTCTGTTCAACATGATTAAAATAGAAACACTGCATAAGTCTTTTTATGAATTAATGGTTGGCTGATGATACGATTGGGTAAGTTTTCATTCAAGCATGGCCTCCACCAAAATATAAATTAAATAATCTACAAGCCTGAAAAAAAATTATTATTTATTATATGTCAACAAATTAAAAAATTTCCATCATTTCATGTGAAAGTAATTTAACAAAGGATAAAAATTGGTACAACCACATGGTTCTTGCATGCTGTTTAGTCTATTAAACTTCTGAATAGTATTATATACTGTCCCTCCATCATTTTGTTTATGTTGTTGTTCATCTAATACAAGGCCCAAGAGCCATTCAAGGTAGTGAATTACTGATGGGGCTCTTTTAATGGACATAAGAATTATAGATTATGAGGATATGTAGGATAGATAACAGTTGACTCTGAACTTGAAATATATTTTAATGGTTGGGGAAGTATCTTCTTAGGAATCTGTTTTATAAAGTACCAGTTCTCTGGAAGAAAATCTTTTAAAGGAATGCAAAGGGAATGAGAATGGTTCACCTGTGTACATGGCATGGTGGGTTTTAGCTGTAATGTAGGGAATGTAGCTTATCAGAACATTTGCCATGGAAATAGCAATAGAGTAGCAATTAGCTTGTAACATTGCATCTGTGGGGAAAAGGTTTATAAGTTGGAAAATAATTCGTCACCCACAAGGCTATGTAAACTTTTTGAACTCAATACTTAACTGCTGTCTAAATTAAATTCTGAATCTCTGATTCCAATACAAACACAGTCCATTCACCAGGGTTGAATAAGACCAAAGTATTTGACGTTGGTTGAAACAAATTTATACCCACATGAGGTAATTTTGGATTTTTTGGGGATTTTTTTTGTGTAAAATATAGACACACACACACACACACACACAAGTTCAGCTTGAGGTCTGGGGTAAACTTGAGCCCTAATAGACACTCAAAACCAGGAGCCTCATTGAGAGTGCAATCATTTGTCATCGCTATTGAGGATTTAGGGTCATTTTGGTGATGATGAAAAGTTACTAGCTTGGTTTTTGAGGTAATAAAAGTTACAAACCAGTTTTCTCCCCATTGTGCTGTTAATACTAAATCAGGTGAAAGATCAGCTGCCAGACTCTGGTCATCTCGATTTTTGACTGTGCACCCATAGACTGTGGTATCATCTGCATAGATATTTATTAACAATCTGAGAATTTTCTTAGGCAGATTGTTAATATAAAGCATAAAGAGAGTAAAAGCAAGTAGTGAGCCTTGTGTGACACTTGCATTGATCTCATGGGTTTAAAAAAACTGACTATTGACAATATCCTTTAAAGACCTGTCTGACAGGAAGGACAATATTTACATTAGTCGGACTATTGTCCTCATCTTTGTCGCCATATTTGTCACAACGTTTCAGCCGTTGTACGCTCCGGCCTTCTTCAGGTGGTTGGAATTTCGAACTGAACCCTTTATTTCGATCACTGGGCCGTACAACGGCCGAAACGTTGTGACAAATATGGCAACAAAGATGAGGACAATAGTCCAACTAATGTAAATACTGTACATAATACCTCATCTCAGAAATATAGACAGACCCAGGAAGGACAATGTTTGTGAGAACTTTTCCAGAGATTCCATAGCTGGAAAGATTGTGTAGCAACCTGCTATACCAAACCTTGTAAAAACCTTTGAGATATCAAAGGTGATTGCACACATGATGAATTTATTATAAAGTGTCTTACTGATTCTTCATGTTATGACAGGACACAGGACATCAGCTGCGGGCCTAGAAAAGAAGCATCCATACTGCTTGTCACTCAGGAAGTTGTTTCTGTTGATGTGATCAACAACATTTTTGTTAATAACTCACTCAGAGATGGCGCTAAAGAAGCTGATAGATTGATATTAAAACTGGGATGAGCACTTTTCTGCATTCTCTGACACTTTCCTTAAATTTGTGAAACATTTCTTCAGACAGCTACTGAACAACTTTGACAAAATTGGAAATAACTCTGAACTAAGATTCTTAACCAGTGGGATTTTACCTGAACCAGTAGCCTTTGCAGAGTAAAGGCTTTTGATGACTTCCCATGCCATAATAGAGATAGCACAAACTTTGTGATATGTGAGAGTTCGGAAGTCTGGTAGGGGATAACCCATTTCAGTCTAATATGTTGTTAGAAGCAAGGTTCATTGCAAAGAGCTTAGCTTTATCGGACAACGATGAGATAACCTCAGGTGCATTTATAATAGAAGGCACTGATGGTTTGCCTGTGTTGATAATGTAAATCCTGTTACTATGCTTCCAATGCCAACCCCTGTTACACCAAGTAACACCAGAATAAAAGCATCTGCAATGTAAGGTCATAGGAATGGTTGTCTTTCGAAAACGTAATATTTAAAGTGTGTGATGTTTAGATATTTTTTGAATGTGCAAATGACTAATTATGTCCAAATTTTCAATGAGAAATGAAAATTGATAACAGAATGAAGGCATTCTTTGGATTTAGTCTAGGTTTAAAAATATTCTGGGCTGGGTCAAGACCTGTAATCCTGAAATTTTGGATTCTCAAGTTTTCATTACTGTGATTGTGTTTGAATTACATCATTTTGGCTTCTGCTGATAAAAACAATTACAGGGACATAACTCTCTAACTTTCAATAGCTCATGTTCAAATGAAAAAAAAATTACTGTTCTCAAATTACAGTGTTTCAAAATAAAATTGTCCATGTTTTCAACTTTACTCCAAAAGGCCAATATCTTGCAAATCAAAATTAGTGACATGTGAAAGTTTTTGGTGATAAAGTCTTCCTAATTCTAATGCCATGTCTCTTATGTCTTTCTGAATTGATTTCAAATTCATTAAATAATTGCTAATTGATTTTTTTTTTTTTTTTTTTTTTTTCCCCAGATGGGTGCTTGTTTCTCTAAAGTATTCAACGGTTGCCCTCTTCACATCAACTGTACAGCAAGTTGGGTGCATCCTGATACACGTGGTAAGTAGCTTTTGCTCTAAAAATATTTCATTGCTTTTTTTATTTTTTTCCTGACCATTCTACTGATTGGTGTATATCTACAGACGATTCAGTTTGGTGTAAAAGACTTTTAATACTAAGCTATAATTAATCCATTTAATAAGTGATATCGAATTTATGATTTTCTTTTTTTCTTCTTCTCTAGACCAATATATTTTGATTGGTGCCAATGAAGGCTTGTACACACTCAATCTCAATGAATTGCATGAATCTTCTCTAGAACTGGTAAGTAACTTTCAAATATTAATCTTGTATTGAAGAACAGGTTTACGTTGTGGGCATGAAGTGCTTTTCTTTAAATAATTGTTTTAATTCAGTGTTTGATTTCCTTCAAGATGTTTTTCAACCCTTTACCTATTTTCAATATCCATCAGTCTTGGGAAGCAATGGAGTCCATTTGGGTGACTTAACCATAAAAAAAATAACAGAGGAATATAATGCAAACACTTTTCAAATAATTGGTAATCTTAAAAATTTAAGAAAATATTCTCTATAATCTAATGTTTTAGTGAATTTTAGAGAATTTGGCTCTAAATTTAATACAGTTGTTGCTCTTATTTTTTGATGATGTCGTGTATAGGCAACCATATTTATCAAATTTGACACATTTTTACAAAAACAATTAAATTTTTTTTTTTTTTTTTTTTTTTTTTGTAAATATTAGGGTTGTCAGATTGTAATAAATTTCCCAATATATGATTAGTAAATATAGTTTTACTTGATAACAATCTTTCCTAAGAGTTACACCATTGAAACTGAATTTTAAAAGATTTAAAAATATTATAAATTATTTTAATTAAAATTTAAAAATGGAAACAAATCTTGTAAAAATTAATTTTTCTTAAGACAATATTATCCTTACTATGTATTATTCATAAACACAATTAAAAGTTTTTCTAATTAAATAATGTCTTAGTTTTAAAGTGTTTTTTTTTTATCTTTCAATTCAGAACATATTTTTGGTAAGACCAGGTCCAGTTTTGCAAAAAAAAAAAATTAATGATTTAAATTCTCCAAAGAATTCTGCTTTTAACTAATATAGTCACTAAAAATTATCACATTGAATTTCTCAAGTTTTCATAAAATTAAATAAGAGGCTAAAACACATGTTTTAAAAAAAATATATTTTTACCAAAAGTTTCTAATAAAAAACATTTCTAAAATAATTTCATTCATTTGTGAATAGGAGCTGAATATTTCATTAAAATCCAACAATTATTTGATTTTTGCAAGAATTTCCAAATTAATACATCTTACACCACAAAAAAAAGACACTAAAATCCACTGACACAAGAAAAACAAGATTTTTAAGCAAACTTTCGAATGTTCTAAAAGAGAAATTTAATTAGATATTTGAAAAATACTTTGATATTTCTTCAAAGAACAAAGATTTTGACAATAAAACTTTCAATTTTATTGAAGTTTTTATTATGTTTGGAGCATGTTTTCCTCACAACATGCTGATTTTTTTTAGCAATTTCGTGGAGGGACATATAATGAATCAGTAAATAAAGAAATATTTAAGTTATATTTAATTCAGTTCATGCCAGCTAATATAAGTAAACAATGGTAAGAATAGATAATATATATAACTGGAAATATCCAACTGTATAAACTGTACATAAATAATACAATCATCACTTTCCTTTAAAATTTTCTTTAATTTTTTTTTTTTTTTTTTTTTTTTTTTTTCCTTCAAGGAGAGATAGAAAGAATGTTTGTTTACTTTGGCAGCCAGTGTTTGTCTAAGTACGCTGAAACTCTTCTCGTCATAATAACTGTAACTTCATTGACAGTTTCCAAACAGTTTATTCTTTTCAATTTAATTCCCCCAAGGTGTGGGGTCACTCTGTGGTATGATTTTCAAGCATTTTCCAATCATGCCACATGCCAGGATCATGTTATCAATAAGTCAGTTCTTTGACAAATCAACCAGGGCAAGATTTGAACCCAGTTCTCATGGTTGGGATGCACACATTCTACCCATTCAGCCACACACCCCATTGTTCATATAAGTACTTTAAAAACTAGTGTCTCCCTCAAAACTGTACAAGTCTGAATAGATGAATATGTAACAATTTCTGAATCTAATCAAAAGTCTTGCAATGAGTTTTCATAGAAATAGGTATTTTGAAATCTCCAAACTATTAACTTTTCAGGTAAATGCAGACAAAGATACCATTTTACCTCCTGTCTTTATAAAAATTAACAAATGTATAATTTTGTTTGTTTTTTATTTGTTCAATCTAAGGAAGGGTGGCATTGATAGATCAGAACATATAAAAATGTATTCCTTTTTAAAAGAAAAAACACTGAAGACAACTTCACACATATATATATATATATATATATATATATATATATATCTCAAGGAAAAAAAAATGCAAGAACAATCTTAATTAATGAAGACCAGAATTGTTTCTTCATTCATCTGTTTGATGTTTGCTTTGGTTTGATAAGCAAATCAATATTTTATTGGTTTTTTTTACTCTAAAAACAAACAATTCAAAAATGCAAAAAGTGTTTCAATAATTTTTTTGAAAGCAAATTCCTTTTTTAGGTTTTGATGATAATTTAATAATTTTGTAAATCATTAATAAAAGTAAATTTCTTTCATTTTGTTGTGTTTATTCTACAGCTCCATGCTCGGCGATGTGTATGGTTGTATGTCATCAAAGATGTTCTCATGTCAATATCGAGTAAGTTGTTTATTAAAAATATAAGATACTATGTCTTGACACAATCCATTTTTTTTAACTCGCCATCATGGTTATGCAAGTAAAGTACACTGACCAATTCACATTGAATGAATAAAATTATGACACATTGCCTAGCAGAGAAAGATTGAAAAAAAATAAGAAGACCATGTTTATGGTTTCAACTTTTGCTGTTGTTATTTTTAACATTTCTCCTCTGCTTGGAATGAGGACCAAATAGACTTAGAGCTGAACCAAATTCTTTTTTATTTGACTTGTTTTAGGCAAGCATCAATATTTCATATAAATCATTTAATATTGTTCTGATTAAATTAAGCTAAGAAATGTTAATAATTCATTTTTCTGTATTCAGTTTCTTTAATTCTATTTCATGTAACATTTCAGTTAAAACTGAAAAAATATATAGGAACATTAAAGACATGATGAAATGGCCAAAACTTTTTAATGTTCAAAAAAAACTTTTTCTTTTTCACAGAATTGAAAGCAAATTGTTCTTTTTTTTTTTTTTTTTTTTTTTTAAATCTAAATAAAAACCATAAAGGAAATTCATGTTTCAGCATCAAATCCTATTTTAAAATACTGTGAAAATTTCCACTGGTACTAAAAACTTAATTGTTCAAATATTACAAGTAATGAAAGAATTTCTTATCAAATATATCTCTTTTGTTTTTTCTGTTCACTTTTCATGTAACAGTTTGATTTCAATCATAATATTCATCACAGCTGCTTTTTCTGCTGTAAAACCTGTTCAGATTTCTAAATGCTTTTTATTTCCATTTCAGGTAAAACTCCACACCTTTATAGACATGATTTATTAATGTTACATAGTAAACAGACAAATAGGTTTTCTCTTCCCATGAATAAAATACCTGAACGATTGGTTCCCAGGTAAGAACTTTCAATTTTCTTCTTGTAAGTGCTTGCACCAGTAGTAACTGGTAGCCTAAGCTGGGGATCAAGTGACAGCAAGTCTCCTCAATACTTCAGTACTCTCCTTAGTATTCTATATTATTATATGAATTTTCCAATCACTATTATTTGGTGGTTTTTACTAGAATTCAAGTGACAACAAGTCTCCTTCATACTCCAGCACTCTCCTCAGTATTTTAATTGATTTTTAATAATGCCATCATCTGGATGGTTTCAACTCTTCCCCTAATCTTCAGTTCCTCCAGTCATTTTCCCAGACTTTTCAAGGCTATTCCCAGTGTTCCAATAACAACTGGCACAATTGTCATCTTGATATTCCACAACTTCCTCAGCTCTCTGATAATGTTATATTGCTTGTCAATGTTTTCACTTTTTTCTAAATTTCCTATGTTGACAGCAAGAGAAGCAGAATTCATTAACATTTTCTTCCTTTCCTGTTTAGTTACTCCATTAAATCCAGGATTCTGGCCTGAATTGGGTAATTCATTGGAAATCTTAATGTTTCAAAAGATTGTTTCATTCTCTCTGATATATTCTACTCTGTACATATACTATTGATCTGTGTGGTCAACCAGTAGTTGCTTGCATAATTCCCAACAGATCACCCTCCCACCCACTCATGCTTATTCTTTCTTTGCCAATTTACCACATTCCCATTCATTCTTTTCTTCATTATAGTGCAATTTTTTTAGCTGTTTTCATTTGTCTTTCCTCCTCATTATTATTATTATTGTTAATAATCAATAATGATCTTTTTTTTTTCTTTTCTTAAATCTTTGATTCATTAGCTGTTATAGCATACCTATGGACAATAATGGTTATGTCCCCATTCACATAAATACAGTAGTAAATACTGTATGTTGGTATGCAGTTGGAGATTCATTGTGGAATTCACTTCTAGCAGTTAACTACTTCTTTTATGCACTGCTGGTGAATCTTATATGTGTTGTTCTTGTCCTAAGTATTATTGTTCATTACCAACCTTTGTTTGATTATTCTATTCAGTAACCTTCCCTAGGTTACAACAATTAGCAAAGGTAGACTCATCCTAAACAAGAGACATTTTGAAAAATGTTACAAACCAAACCTGAAAATGCTTCCTCTGGGAACCTGATGTTTTTGGAGTTTTGTTTTTTTTTCCCTGGTGACAGGGTGAGGTGTCTGCAAACAAAGAGAATTTAGTTTGAAATCCTGCAAGAAATAATTAAAAATATATCTTATGTTAATAAAGAAAATATTTAAACCTGATAATTAAAATTTTTTTAAAGGCTTTTCCAATTTATATTTTAATAACTTCTTACATTTCAGCCTCAGATTTGTTTTTGTTTTTAATTTCTTTTATTAATTCTTTGTATTTTTAAAAGAAAAAAAAGCAAGAACAGCTTGTTTTATTCTGAATATAAAATTGTCTCATTTACTCTGCAATTATGAAATTTCAGTTTTTATTCCTGTTTATAAAGAAGAATGATTGGTCCAGGAAAAAATGATACATAGGTGAAGAATGATTGGTCCAGGAAAAAATGATACATAGGTGAAGAATGATTGGTCCAGGAAAAAATGATACATAGGTGAAGAATGATTGGTCCAGGAAAAAATGATACATAGGTGAAGAATGATTGGTCCAGGAAAAAATGATACATAGGTGAAGAATGATTGGTCCAGGAAAAAATGATACATAGGTGAAGAATGATTGGTCCAGGAAAAAATGATACATAGGTGAAGAATGATTGGTCCAGGAAAAAATGATACATAGGTGAAGAATGATTGGTCCAGGAATAAATGATATGCAAGTGAAGAAAGAGGAATTTTCAGTGCATTGATATTATTGGACTCTACCAACTTTGGCACAAGGCCAGATTTATGGAACATCCCGTTAGGCATGAATAATTTTCAAAAGCAGCCCATTAATCACTACTCTACATCAGATACCTCAAGCCCAGCAATTATTTGCCACTCATCCACCTATCCTAACTGACATCGTACATTTTCTTTTTTTTAAAACTGTTTTTATATTTGCAGAAAATTTGCCACCACCACCAAAGTTCCAGATAGCCGAGGTTGTATGAAGTGCTGTGTTGGTCGCAACCCTTACAATGGTTATAAATACCTTTGTGGGGCTTTACCTACTGGTGTGATCCTCATGCAATGGTATGAACCATTGAATAAATACATGTTACTCAAGGTAGGCAAATTTCAGTTCCTCCCCTCTTGCCACTTTTCACTCCCACATCTCTTGGCTGCTTTTCTTTCATTAACTGTTTGTTTTGTTGATTTTTTTATCATTTTCTTAACGAAAATGTTCAATGAAAATATTTTCAACAAATAAAAAAATTTCTTTCAATTTCATTTTGAATTGTTGCTATACTGAAAGTCCTTTTCAAACCAATTTTCAATGAGTCTTACATTTACATCATTGTTTCAAATTTGTTGCTTCTGAAAAGTCGGATGATTCCTTTTAGCCATTTTATTGGAAATCCTTATTTTATACTTTAATTCATTTGAACTATTGTTCTCTTCTTGATTGTTAAAGATGTTATTTGCAGTCACACAGTTTCAGCCTCTGTAGCCATCAGCAGAACTCCATTTGTGTTATTATTGTTTTTATGCTTTTTCTTTGCAGACCTTTGAATGTGACTCTATGCCTACCCACCTCGACGTATTTGAAATGTTCATATCCCCTGAATTAGAATACCCAATGGTTTGTGTAGGGGTGAGAAAAGGGTAATTATGTAACAGGTTTTATTTTGCTTTTTTCTTATATTAGGAAATGATTTAAATTTCATCACAAGTACAATTACTGCCTCTGCCTTTAAAATCTGGATTCTATCAAATTTTCAAAAGTTTTCAGGTTTCACTTTTTTCAGTTTTAAAATTGGAAATAAAACAATATTTACAATCAAAGGTAAAAAGCTGAATCTCAAAGTTATTTGATGGATTAAAAGATCAAAGATTAAAAAATATTTGCTGGATTAAAATATCTTTGCAAAACTGAGAAAAAAATTCTTATTAGTTCTTAATTTTGCATGAATTTATTTTGTGCTGTGAAAAGAAATTAATGCCTTCAAATACTTATTCCTTGTTACGATGTCAACTATTAAAAAATGACTGCATTATATTTTCAGCACCGAGAGAAACCATGTCAGATTTGATATTATCAACTTGAATTCTTCAAGCAATTGGTTTACTGGTAATTTCTCAGGTAAAAAAAATGATTGTTTCTCTCTCTCTCCCCCTCTGCTTTTGTTTTCTCTTTCCCTGATATATACACCCATCTCATGTTTTGATTGCAGAAGGCACTTCACTGAATTCCTCCTTCGATTTTTGCTCCTTTCAAAAAATGTTTCTCCTTTCAAAATACCCTTTGTCAATGCATCCAAATGTTAAAACCTCTAACCAAACACTAATCCTTCTGTGAACATGCTATCAGAATGGATAACTAAATTCTTTTCATTCTTCATCTAACTTTCAACAGAGATGAGAAAACTTTCCAAATTCTTTCAATTACTCTGAAGAATTTAAATGAAGGCAGGAATTTTGTGTAGTGAGATGGATGTGTAAAATTAATTTCAACAGACAAGAGAATTGCATCTATCTGGAATTTCACGCTGTTAAAGGACTTGGCCATTTCTCATATTCCTTTTGTATTTTCTTTTCAAGTTTCCTCTCATCTTGATAGTCCGAAGCCATTTCATTATAAACAGAAAGCATCTGAAAAAGATGCAACCTAAAAAGATCAGTTGTCCTGGCAGATTTATCTTTCAATATATTTGAATATTGAGTTTTATGTGAATAAAAGCAATGACCGGAATTGCTGGTTTCTTGCCACTTGCTTGGCTCCAGTTATTGCAGTCTTTCACTTTTCATTACTCCAATTGCAATACAAATGGTTTGATGTCATTAATGTTCCTCAAGAACTGGCAACATCCATTGCCTTTTGTAATAATTTTTGCTTGCTTTTCAATTCTCATGCAGTTTCCATAAATATTTAATACATTTAAAAATGTAGAATTAATTTTGCCTAAACTATTTTTGAGTGACAAACAAGATGGGTAAAAAATTTGGATGGTCAATATAAACTGTAAATCTTTTTTCTGATTTTTGAAAGGCGTGAAGAAGCAAACATTATAACATTCTAGAACTTAAGACAAATGTTGACCTTTTTAAAAGCTTACAAATCAAAGAAGAAAGATTTAATAACCAAGAAATATTATTTGTAAAACATGTTTAATGTCTATTTCCAATTTCTGTCTTTATAGCAAAGTACATTTTACTACATTTTTTTTCTATTTAGTATATTTGAATTGTTCATTTTAATTTAACCTCTAATGAGGCTGCCAGTTGTTGCTGTTGCCAGTAAAGTAAACAAATCTGAAGTCTGGCTATAGAAACTCATTGATGTCATGGAACATGCTTGACTGAAAGGATTAAAAAAAAAAACAAGAAAATACAACCCTAACACATCTCTTCTCTGTTACTAGTGCACCATCTTGAGACCAAACTAACAACTGGCTAGTATTTCTAAGAGAATTCAAATTCAAAACAAATGCTTGAATTATCTTTTTTTTTTTTTTTCTATCTTTAATCAATTTCTGGCAGTTTCTTGCTTATTTCATGCCAACTGGGAAAAAGCTGATGCAGAAAAACAGGTCATCAACAAACAAGATGGTAGTTGATGATTTGTCTGTCTGTGTGTCAGTAAATTGTGATTATTGTTGTGCAGTGTTAAATTTGCTGTTTGTTGTTACATCAGGAAGAAACTGGCGAGAACTAAACAACTTGAGTAAGTAAGAAAAAAGCTTCCATGTTCTTGCTGCTTTTGCCCTTAACCCTGCAAAGGTTCCCCTACAACCCTAACGTAGCTATTGTCTTTATCTTGTGTTGCTCCATGAAGTCTTTGAATGGAAAACATTTCCCTACATTTATTCAGTAGTGAGGTAACTCTCTCCCGCACCAATCACCACTACCACTACCACCACCCTACTCAAGAGTTTTAGTTTTCCCTTTTTTTTTTTTTTTATTAGATTGATCCAATAAAAAAAATATTGGAAATAAATGCTATTTGGCCCATTCTTCCTTTATCTGAATTTTGATTTTTCCTTTTTTTTTAGCATTGATGACAAAAACAAAACTATATATTAGCAAAGTGAATCATACTTTTCCTCACATTCAATGGAAATTGATTTCAAAATTTTATTTTAATTATTGCTATTGCCTCATAACTAAAATCAGATATTCTTTTTAAAGGAAAAAAATAAAGACAATTAGATTTCCTAGTCATAAAGAATATAATCTGTGTGTGTAAAACTGATGACAAATATTAAAAATGAATCTAAATTGGTTTAACTTTTATGAGATTCTGGTCATTTTCTCATTCTGAATGACTTTATGACCTAAAACCCTACTAACCCCCCCCCCTTTTCAATCTCTTGAGTGGAGTGACAGCTCACTAAATACTGATCTTGCGTTTTCATTTTTCTTTTATCTACTAACCCTTTCATCAGTTTCCTAATTTTCTTCACTCCTATAACATCTCTCGGCTATGAAAATAGTTTTTACATAATTAGGTTGATTTTGAAATCAATTAGTACTTCCAGGTTTGTTTTTGATAACCTTTCCTCTTCCAGTAGTGAAGAAGATGCCTTTCAAAACAGATTGTCTCTTTGGTAGAATCTTGGTTCGACTGGTGAGAGCCACAGTCAAAATGTAATTCCTTACAGACTGTCTAAATCAAACTGAAAAACCTTCAAATTTTCACTTATCAGCATCTTTTTTTTTTTTTTTTCTTTTATCTCAATGACATTTATTAGAAGGAACCCATCATTTCTCTCTTGATTGAAAACAAAAAAAGCAATGAAAATTAACTTTTTGTGCTTGCAGCTAATGTGACTTCAGATAACCTGATACTTTAATAAGAATCATTGTCCAACATTTCTGTGCCAAGTTTTTATTACTGAATAATGTTGTTTATATGTGGATTTTAGATTTGATGTGAATATAAAAATTAAGTTTTGAAATATAAAACTTTTCTTCTTTTTTATTTGAAAGATGAAAATTTCTTCTAAATGAACTTTGTATTGTTTGGGTAACTTTGCAAACCATTATTTTATACTCTTTCAAAATTGCCAACAATTGGAAAATCTCTTTTAGAAAGAAAAAAAAACATTATCTTTTTTTCTTAAAAAAGAAACACACCCACCTACTCCAGTCTCTGACATTCAGTCTCTCTTCTTTCTCAGGGAAAAGCATTCATAAGGAGTAAAAAAGATTTTATAATCTTATGTCTAAAAACTGGTTCTTACTTTGTTTTAGGATAAAAATGAAATTCTAAATTTTTTAAAACTTTTCTTTTAGATTTCACACTTCCAATATTCTTTGAAATATCTACCTGTCCCCCCTCCCAGTTTTTTATAATTTGTTTTCATTAAAATGAAATTTTCTCTGATTTCTGTTCTGAGAGAAACCGTCATGTCATATTTACAGGGAAGTGCAGTTTTGAGTATTTCACAAACCACTCCACATATGTGCAGAGGATGATTTTCAGTGAAAAAAATGTAATTTTCATAATTACATTTTATTTTGTATAATATGTAAATAAATTCTGTTGTAAAATAGAAAATATGAATAACTTAAACAATATCCATCTTCTCCACCTGTTTAAAAGGGGACCCTAAAAGCAAACTGGTGTTTGAAAATTGAATTTATCCATACAGCAAATGGAGATGCAATCAAAGACCATATTGAATGTGTGTTTTTCACTAATAAAGATTTAGTAGAAATCCTTAAAGCTTGATTTGGCTTTCACTTTGCAAGAGAAAGAGATTTTCAATTGTGATGGATATGAAAAAAGATGGTAGAGAATAAGATATAATTTGGAATTGTCAATTTTCATTTTGAAGGATTTTATTTTTTGGGGTTCGCTTCATAAAAGATGAACCTGTAAATACGAAGATTGCAATGACAAAGTATGCATCAAAGAAATCTTTTCTTTTTTCTTTTATCTTTTTTTTTTTTTGAGTGGGAATAGACAGAAAAATAAATTTTGTCCAAGTTGTTAATTTGAAATTTATTGCAAAATTGCAACATATTTATAAAAAAAAAAAAAAAAATCTATTCCAATATTTGCTTGGAGATGGTTTCTGGTCCCATCTTTTTTCATGACTAGTTTTGTTGTTTTGCTTTGACTTAATTATGGCAATAAAGTAACCAAAAGTAAAATTGGTGAAATTGTCACCAGCTTTCCCCAATATACAACTGGCAACACTTTTCTTTCCTGACCTAATTTTTGCTATAAGATTATAACCAACTTTCTTCTTTTTATTTTTATTTTTTCTTTCAATTATGACAGCAATTTGAATGTCTTAAATCTATTTCTATGACCATTGATCATTTGTTTAGTTTTCGTTATTTGGGGCTACAGAAGAATATTAAATTTTTGCAATTGTTGCTAAAAAATAAGAGAAAAGTTTAAAATATTTTTATATCTATGAATTCCTCCCACCCGCAAAAATACTATTATGCACCCACAAAGGTAGGGGTTTTTTTTTGTTAACATCTCTACCATATTACCTATTATTTCTCAAATACACTCATAAAGCTTTTTCTATTTATTTTTGGATATATATTTACTTTTGGATTATACAAAATTTCACTTGATAAGAAATTTTAAATATCTCGACATTTTTTTCCTTTTCCTTTTTGCCTGGTGTAGAGTAGAGAGGCCCATGGGGAAGGCAGGACAAACTAAAAAGTGGTCAAGAAGACCAGGGAGGAGGAGAGAATATAAATACTGTGCAACTTGGGCAAACAAGGACACTCGACTTAAGATGAACACTATGTTACATTGTGCTGTGAACATGATTTACCTATTAACAAATTTAGGATGGAACACATGCTCTTACACTGAAAACATCTTAGAAATAGCCTCAGAACAGGACACCGTAAATCTCTAATATTTACAACTTCAGCAACTAGTGGAACTGCAAAAGGAGAACAACGAACTTCACCAACGAAATGCTCAAAAGGAGGTCAGTCTCAAAAAACCCAGAAAGACCCACTATTGAACAGTGAACTAATGGATTGGGCATTATTTGTCAATTCATGGAATCGATACAAGGAAATGTGTGGGCTAACAAACCCAGCCAAAATCTGTAAGGAAATAAGAATTGCATGCTTCACTGAAGTGAATAGGTTATTATTCAGCTTGATGGGAGCAGAAACCCTCAACACAACCACACAACAGCAGCTTCTTTGTCAGATACGACTCGCTGCTATTAAAGGTCTGCACAATGAGGTACATTCCACAATATGAAACAAGGGAGGGAAGGTGTCACATTTATTAGCGAGATTACAGTTGCACACAAAGTTCTAGGAATTTATGATCCAGTGTCTGAATGAAAGTTGCAACCAGCGAGTCAATTATTTGAAGGATATGATGGCTGGTCAACTTGTTAATACTGAAGACCAAGATAAACTGAAGCTAATACTCTCACTATGCTGAAACAGATATTTAACAGGTTTCCCAGCCTTGAAATGGACAAGTCAACTCCCTACTTACTACACAGTTTATCCCTGCTTATGGCACTTAACACAGTGAGGTCAGAGCAGAGGTGGGTGTCCCCAGGGTGAAGATACCTCTAAATGTTCCCTGAAAATAGAGGTTTTTCTAATAGCTGAATACCATGCCACATTTGGACATACCCTGAATGATCCACCCAACCATCAAGTGTACTGCATCTACACCATAGCAGACACTGGTGTGTAAACTTGTTCCAGTGGACCAGAGATGCTGGAAGTCCTGAGATGCACTGGTGATCACCTGATACCAACTAGTCATAGGATATGCGGCATAACAAATTATCAGCTGCATATTAAAGGCATACTCTTCATGCACATCAGTGTCGACCACAGAGAAACAAAGTAAGTTGTTTCTGTGTCAGAGTACACATCCAGGTTCTACTTTTCGGAGTCAGCACTAAAAGACCTGGATTTAATACATCAGAATTTCCCAAACCAGACATCCAAAATTAATGTGTTGGCCACCATCAACAACAAGGCATTGTGTGGATGTCTCTGAAGAACGATGGTCCCAGATGAACCAGCCAACATCCCAATACCTCCTATCGAAAGCAATAGGAACTACTTAGAGTAATGTCTACACGGCCATTTTAGATTGATCATGTTTAACACATGCCCACACCAATCATTGCAGGTGATGACAGGAAAGCCATTAGACATAACTTTCGTCCAACAGGCGACACCATCAGTTGTACACACACCTATTCTGGCTCTACACCATTGTACCAGCCCGAACCAAGAAAATAGTTCTGGATGTGTGGAATGAGTACGACAGCCAACCACTTTCCCTAGCTGTGTGAGGCACTACCACATTCATAACTGAATGGGACCAGTACTGGTACCTTAGAGCACCCCAAGAGTTCCATGCATCAGTGGACAGGTACACCTGTCGATTTGATGATATCACACCAGATACACCCAAAAAAAACCTGTTGCATTGATGACACACTTTTCTGGGATGAGTCTATAGAATCCACATCCTGACACACATTGGAATACATTACCCACTGCAGCAGGAATGGAATAGTTTTCAACCCCCAGCAAGTTTCAATTTGCAGGAGACAAAGCAGTTTGCCAGCTTCTTAATGAATTAATCAATTTCCTGACTCCCACAAATACCACGAGTAACAAGTCCTGGTTTGGATTAATAAATCAGAATTGTTATGTACAAAAGATTGGAAATTTTACTGGGACACAACATTTAACTAACGTTTCAAGGAGTTGAAATGAAACATTGTATGGAAGATCACGAAAGGAGTCAAAATGTTTGAGATGAAACACTGGGTAACAGACAATACTGAATGTGCATCGACAGCAGCAACTGAATTACACTGCACAATTGTCGATTCCTTTGAAAAATAGTACCGGCCATGGACACACCAAACTACCCAACACCACAACTGCCCCAACAAAGGCTAATAATACTTAACGAAGTGGAACGTCCATACAACACACTGAAAAGTATGGTAGTAGATGAGACAGAGCGCAATGGTGGGCGGGGTGAAGGACCATACAGAAATAGAAGTGGGCAAAAACCATCCCCCCAATTGTGCAGCCACCGGTAAGTCATGATCTGTAATGCAGCACACAAGGGTGTCATGGCAACCATGACTCATACACCCTGTGGTCATAGGAGGAGGGGACATGTAGAGAGGCCCACAGGGAAGTGGGTGGGGACGAACTAAAAGTGGTTACTGGTAGAAGACCGGTGAGGAGGAGAGAATACAATTAATGTGCAACAGATGAGTACATTTGACTTTGGAAGAACACTACGTTACAGCTGGTTACAATTTCTACTTGGCGGCTTTCTTACACTTGTGTTTGACTTTCTACAATGCAAAAGTCCCAAGTGTGAATAAACAATGTCTTCATATCATCAGACATCTTAATTTACCATAAATAAATAAATAAAATGTTCAAAAGTAAAAACAACCTTTATCCTTTTCTCTAGCCCTTTAACTAAACTTTTTAAATGTTGTTTTTAGTTTTGTGATTTTTGGTCTAACAAAGCTTTTGTTTTCATTCAGTATTATTTTTTAAAACTTGATCATCAAAAAAAACATTCATTTGAAATCCTATTTTTGAATTTGGTCATTTGAGCTGCCCCTTCACACCTTCAGGTGAATTTTATTTTCATTTCGTAAATTGTTGGCTTGTTTCAGAAGAGAACTAAAAATGTTCCCAATTAGAAAATTGAATCTGCTTCATTGAAATGAAATTTTTAACCTGCATTTTTGTTCTTGTCTTTTCTCTTCAGGTGAAACTTTACCAGTTGTTAATGTAACACAATTGGAAAAGGAGTCAATTCTCGTGTGCTATGATAGTAAGTTGCCTTATTTTTTAACTTTTTCTTTGTACTGCAAACAAATTTCAAAAATAAACCCCAACATGAATTTTATTACAAGTTAGAATTTTTAATGATATAAAGTTACTGAAAAGGTGATGTTTGTTTAATTGTTTCTGCATTAGCTTTTTATTGAGTTTTTACTGTATTTCATACATTTTCTGATTGAATGCTGCATGTAACATTTATTACAAATTATGTAAGATTTCTGTTTTTGACACAGGTTAAAAATATGTTGCTATCCTGATTTGCAATCCACACTGTTCAAGGTGTCATAGAATGATTGGTTTGAGTTGATACATTGAAAAGCAACAGAAATGAAGATGAAAGAAATCCTAGTGAACCCTTAAAAATGCTTACAACAGATTATCGCTGACAACATAGTTGTACTTTTAGCAAATAAAAATGTTGTTCTCTTCCAAATAATTGCAAAAATTTGTTCAGTCCTGATGATAATTATAAATGAAGCATTAAATATTTTATATTTTTGAACATTTCTTCATATTCGGGTTCATTTTGTTTTTTTCAAGACTTCACTCTTGTTTTTCTTCAGAATATGTCAAGGTTGTGAACATGGCCGGCAAATTAAAAGCCAGTCGACGGCGAGCAGCAGAACTTCACTTTGATTTTCCTGTCGAATCTCTGGGTAAGTGACATTTAAAATATTTCTTTATCTTAAATCTTCATTCTATGCTTATTACAAAATGAATTAATTAAAATGTAAAACTTGTTCTTCTTTAATTACAACAAATTCAACAAAGTAAAGCAAAATGAACAGAAAGAGTCTGTGGATTTCAAATCTCGTCTTCAACATAGCCTCCTTCCTTCTCAATCATAGGATTCCACCTTTGAATGAAGGCATGTATATTATGGCCTTGTTGAAGCTTCTTGATTGCTCTATTGGCTATGTAAAAGTTTCCCCCTTTCACCTAATCATCATTAAAGAACTACTGTCCTCCAATTACTCACAATGATGTGCAGCTCCAGAAAATAGATCTTGAGTGGCAATCGCTCTCTGTTTGTTTAAGGAATTTGTCATCATTCCAGGAAGGAATCTAGTTTGCTGAAGCCTTTGTGTAACCAAGAGACTCTACTAAACTAGAAGCCCTTACAATGACCACTTAAGGGCTTTTCCTAAGTTTTGCAATGATGATTACACTGTCAGAACATCAGCTTGTTGTTTGGCCATCACAGCAACGACTGACCTGCCTTTTCCTCTTGCATTGCAATTGCCTCTACTTGCCCATCATCACCTTGCAGTGCTGGCTTATGGCCATATCACATTAAAATACTGGTTCTCATAATGATCATTGAAGTTAAGCAACGTCGAGCTTGGTCAGTACTTAGAGGGATGCTTGCTTGCAAATACCAAGTGCTGTAAACTTATATGTGCAGGTGGTGTAATGAAGATCAGAGAGCCAAGTTCCAATTCCAGTCAGGTTTGTCATATTCAGTTATGCACAAATACACTTACGAAAGCTATGAATCTACCTTCTCTCCCACCAGCTATGACTTAATTAGTACAACTTGTATCAGTAAATCATTATTATCTCAAAAAAATATTTTCTGGCTTTAAATAACCTACAAAAGGTTGATAAATTGTCAAAAACAAATCAATCAATCAATCAAAGCTTACTGTGGCAGCCTTTTAATAAACGATCACTAACTTCATGTGTATATTTGCAGCATTTTTTTTCTTTCAAAAACAAATTCTATAACAACATTTTGCTTTCTATGTGTCCAGAGAGGGAACTATTTGTAAATGTCTATTTCTCTTGTCTATTTTAATAGATTTTTATAAGTTCATTGGTCCTTTGGCTTTAAACTCTCTATGTTATATTCTTAGTGTTGTATTTTGCATAATAAAAAGGAAGCAGAAGTAAGCATTTTAGTCATCTTTATTCGACTGGATTTGTTTCCCCACACCATGATTACCAGTTACATTATGAAATCAAATGAGAAGCAGCTAGAAGCAAAAAGGCAAAAGTCTGTTTTTCTTCTTTTAAGCACAACTTGATGAGGCAAAGTCCCAATTTCAAAATAAATCTAATCTTTTTCTCAAAGATCTTCAAAACTATATGGGAAATCCACAAAAAAAAGTTTTTAAATTTTAGAAGTACAGTTCCACTGATTTTTGTAATCTGAGAGAGAGAGAGATTATTACATTGGTTTGATGTGTACAGAGCTTTTTTCTTCTTCTTCAGTTTGTTTACAAGACAGCGTTCTCGCATTTCACAAACATGGCATGCAGGGTAGAAGCTTCAAAGCAAATGAGGTAAATTACAATTAATGTTGTTTTGATTGTCAAATGAATTCTCTAAAAATCAAGTTAAATATTTGCATTGATTGAATGTACAATGAAAAACAAATCAAATGTGAACGTCGTGTTGATGTAATGTTCAGTCTGTTTAAGGGGAGGTAACTGAAGCCAAAATTGATTTTGCTCACAGATTTCTAAAGCAGCAACGTCTATTGTGTTGGTTGGCAACAATTCAGTTTTTGAGTGTTAAAAAAAATGAAAAAAATGAATCTGTTAATGTGTAAAAGAAACAAAATTTATCTTTTGGAATTGGGAAGAATCAGAAGACAAATAATGATTTCAATATTTCTATCTTGATTGTAGTTTTTACTTCTGCACAATTACACTGCTTCAAAATCAATATTTTTCTCCTCTGACAATACAATTATGTTTTATTTTGAATCTGTATTAAGAAAAAGCAAACTTTTTTTTAATTATGGATTGGAACAGTGATGTCACCAAACTCCTGCTAGCCATAACAAGTCTGGTACAGTTGTCATTTATTTTTCAATTTTCCCAGATATTAAATTGAGTCTTAAATTATTTTAAATAACTTCCACATAACAGTTTCATTTCAGTTAGAAACATTTTTATCTTTTGCCCAGAAATTTAAATCCTTTCTCCATAACCTTAATTTTTTTTTTTTTTTTTTTTTAAGGTAACCCAAGAAATCTGTGACAAAACCAGAACATTTAAATTACTAGGTTCTGATCGGTAAGTTGGTATTTTTATTTATCTTTAGCAACCTTCAGTAAAAGATAGCACATGGTTTTGTACTGACAGAAATAAACCAAATTTATATGCAGATCTTTTATATAAAGAAAATGATCTGTATGCAATAAATTGATACAAATTATTCAAATTTTTTTTTTTTTTTTTTTTTTTAAGCTGCTGCATTTCCAGTTTGTAATATTTCTTTAATGATTCCCAAATTATTTCCCAATTCTTTTACTTTGTGAATAACTTTACTAACATTTGTTGAATGATGTCTCTTCAGCCATTTCATTTGTTTGTTTTTTGTTTTTCAAACCCAATCCATAACAAAGAAATGTCATTCTTTGACCAACCTGATTTTGGTTTATCACATAAAATTGTTCATTTGGTTAATGTTTTCTGATAAATGTTTAAAAAAGTTTTTTAAAAATTATTATGTCATATAACCAACCTCAAAATGTATAATGAAAAAATATCTTTGTTTGGTTTTGCCAGGGTGATTATACTGGAAAGCCGGCCTACAGACCACCCTGACTCCGTCTCCAACCTTTATGTGCTGGCCGGCCATGAAAATACCTATTAGAAGCTGTTTGCTGCTCTACTCTGTCTCCAGTGTCTACTGCATCTGACCCACCTCCACCAATGTTCCTATCATTTGTCCGCCTGCCACAGACAGAGAACAAATAATCAGCAGTCAAGATTTTTTACTGGTTGGTCAAAAAAAAAAAAAAAAAAAAAAAGTGACGAAAGACCTGATTGCATCTAGTGTTGATGTACTACTGCTAGTATTATTATTATTTGTACAGATTTGACGGCTCTACCAATTAAACTACCACAAATCCAATTGTTCCTATCGCTGCTACTACTACTACTACTTTACCAACTTCTTATTTGACTACTAGTAGTGCTACTATATTAGTATGACTACTAGTAATACAATCAAAGCAACTATTACGACACCAGCACAAGCACTACTTTTGCTGACTTAGGCTTTTGGGGGATTATCAGCCGGTTTTGGACAGTGGTCATCGGGCAGATTACTTGGCCAACCATTTGGCCATTTCAGTTTCCAAGTTTGTAGCGTTCTTTTTCCACCACTCCCCCTTCTCCTCTTTCCCCCCTCCGTGTTTGGTGGTGTTGACATTCTGCAGCGTGGCATGTGAGTTTTAAATTGGAAAGAAGAAAGACTGCAAAGACAGAGGAAAGAAGGCTGAGAGATTTTGTTTGGTAGATCTGCTGCAGGTATTACTGCTCCTACGGACACAGCTTCTCACTGTGATAAGAGATAAGATGATGCAAAGTAAAGACAAGGTCAAGGATCCAGAGAAGAAAATTAACAAAAAAAAAAAAAAAAGCTTGCAGTGAATATCCGTACGCAGATGGGAACAACAAAAAAAAAAAAAACGTTGCAAGTTCTCTTTATTTTTTGCCTAAACTATGAATTCTATATATCTATACTATACATACATGTGTGTATATATATACATATATATAAACACACACACACACACACAAATAGATATACTATATGTACATATGGCATAAATGCTGTATGTGTGTACACATATAGACATGTAAAAAAAAAAATATTTTAAAAAGAGAGCCAAAAAAGTATATATAAATGAAAAGAATTCCCCCCCCAAAAAAGCCAACTTTGAGTTTTGAAAGAAATCCATTTGAATAGTTCCAGTTCTCTCAGCTGAGGGTAACACCCTTCTCCTCTATCCCCCTCCTCCTCTTCCTTCTTTTCTTTCTTTCTCTCTCTCTCTCGTCTTCATTTTGTTTCGTTGTCTTGCAGAATTCTGCATGGTTTCAAATGTTTTATGCTCAATGTTTTATAATGCCTCAAACTCTTTTTGTTTTCGTTTTCTTTATTTCTTGCTAAATTAAGTAAAGCAAAACATTTTCTATTTTGTGCAACGGTCTTGAGAAAATGTGCCTTGTTAATTCTGATGAACACAGATTTTTAAGAAGATGAATATTTAGACAATGTAAACGAACTGTTTGCTGTAATCAGAGATCAAAACATACACCAAACGAAAGAAACAAATTAGCGGACGCTTTTCTTTGGTGTCACATTAACAGATTGTTCTACAATAGAGCAAAATCTTTAGCATCCTCAGAGAGCCTGTTGACTATTTATTGTTTACCAGCATCTCACCCAACACGTCTAACTAGAGCCTTACAGATATTTTGTTTTCCTAGTCTAATCGATCTGTAAAAATTGTCTCAACAATTTCTTCAGTTAATTTCCTTTAATAGGCATGGAGATAAAATCTCATCTGCCAACAATGTTAACAATTCAGTTTTGGTCAGTTTGTTGATTGTTACGGACATAAATGGCTACAATTGTGCCGTTGATGGGGAAAATAGACTAGCATTGTCTGTGTGTCTAATGTGTGTGTCACTAACAGCCAACAACTGTTCTAATATTAACATATGAGCCTACATTACAAAAGTAAATAGTATGAAATAAGTTGCTACTAATTATCCAAGAATCAATTTCTGTGATTCTGATTTCTCTAAATAGCAAGTGAGCCAAAAGCTAAAAAAAAAAAAAAAAAAATCCCTTTCTAAAGGGAATAGAGATACTGGGGAGGGGGTGGAGGAGGAGAAGGAGGCACACCCTTCCTTGCATGACCATAGCTTTTATCTTTTTCTTTCCTACTTTTCTATGGCTGAAACTTTTTGAACCCTTCTCGCCCCAACCCATGGGCAGCCCTACACTACCTAAACAAAGGTGGGATGTTGTTTAGGGAATTGGGGAAGGGTTAGTTGTTGTTGTTGTTGTTTTTTTTTTCTTTTTTTTTTTTTTTTTTTTTTGTTCTTCCCTTCCATTATTTTTTTTAATTATTATTTCTGCTTTTTTGGTCACATGATTTTTTTTTTTTTTTAATCTCTTTTTAAATTTGTTTTTATTTATCTACTGGACTTGTAAATTGGACACTGGAAATTCTATTTGCCACTCTTGAAGAAAAAGAAATACTTTTATGCTTCATTGAATCTATAGGAACAAGACGAACAAATAAAAATAAGAGAGACTTTGCCAATTAAAAAAAAAAAAAGTGAATAAAGAAAAACAAAACTTGAATGTTGCTATTTTCCTGCTGTAGGCCTGCATGCCTACCTCTCTCTTGTACGTCTCCCTCCAATACTGTGTCTGGTTCGAATGTTAGTTAGAACCTTTCTTCAGTCCTTTTCTTTCTCTCAAACACATATTTCGTTTCTTTAAGAATTGTTGTTGTTTAATTATTTCTATTTTTAGTAATAATTAAAAAAAGAAAAAAAAGTTCCCTTCTCTCTAAAGAGAAACTAAGACATTATGAAATGAAATAAATTATAATATTTTTTTCAAATGTTCTAAGTCCCCAAATAAAGTTTTAACAAGATGAAAAATTAAATTTAGATAAAAGTTTGAGGTTTTTTTTGATCTTAACCAAATTAGTTTAAATCTCGACTGCACTTTTTTTTTAAAATTTGTTTGTAGAGATTACTTGGCCAGAGTTCCTATTTTTATAATCAGTTCCGATTCCTGCAAAAAGACAAAAATAATCTCTTAGCCAATTCCTAAGAGTTGTTATGAATGATTTTATGTATTTTCTCTGCAACATTTATGTTTCTCCTCTTCATTGCCTCTTTTGCCATCTCAAAATGTTTGGTAAGGCACCACGGACTCTCTGTAGAAGCACCAGAAAGGTGGATGATGGCTGCCGACCAAAGATATCCATATCTGCCTTGTTTGGTTTTTGTCGACATCTGTTGACAGAAAAGATTTGTTAGTCTGACAAAACTGTCAAGGAATTGTAACTCGGTGTTGCTGTTCTTTCTTGAATTTTCTTTTTCCTTTTTGTAAACAAAAAAGAAATTCTATTTTTGTTTCATTTAGTTATTGCCAGCACCGATATCTATCTGTTTCATTTGATCAAAACTGGCTGCTCCTCTGCCCTCCCTCATCTTCCCAAGAAAGAAAGAAAGAAAAAAAAAAAAAAGGAAAAATTGATTCTGACCTGTGTGCAGAGAACCAAGGGTTGCAATGTCTAATAGATGAATGCTTGTAAAGTCTGTGTTTCTAATTTTTCATCCGAATCATTATTTTTACTTTTTTTTTTTTTTTTTACTTAAGCAGTACACATTAAACAAAACTCTTTCAGATATTGACAATTCTAGTGATAAGTTTATATTTTACAAATGTCCAACATTACAGATATACAACTCTACTCCTCTCCCCCTCCATCCTTTCACCCTTATTTCTTGTGTGGGGAGGAGAAGGCGTTAGAGAATTCTTTGAATTTTTTTTTTATGTGCTCTTTTATTTCCCATAACAGCCAGTTCTAACCCTAACCATAATAACCCTGTGTCTCTTATTGGATACTGCAGGGCCTGCTTCCACATTTCCACTGTCCCTTTCTGTGTGTGTGTGTGTGTGAGAGAGAGAGAGTGATATATACGTGTGTGTCTGTGTGCGTAATTTCTAAATTAACAGATTTTTATTTTTAATCCGTTTTTTAAAGTAACATTTGAAGTAGTAAACAAAATGTGTGCACACACACACACACACACACACACACACCTCATGCTGACGGCAATTCAACTAATTCGAATAAGAATTCAGATCATATAATTCATCCAATTTAAAAATTATGAGATCTTTATTTATAAAAAGCTTGGCTAATGTGAACTTGAATTGTTGCAAGTTTCCCATTGTCCTTTGCTAATAAAAAAATAGTCTACTCCAGCTGACATCTCTCTTCTCTTTTGTTACTCTCTCTTTTCTTTCCTTACTCTCTCTCTTCCTCATTCTTACTCTGTACTCTTCATCATTCTCTCTCTCTCTCGTCTCTTCCTTATTCTCTCTCTCTCGTCTCTTCCTTATTCTCTCTCCTCTTCCTTATTCTCTCTCTCTCCTCTTCCTTATTCTCTCTCCTCTTCCTTATTCTCTCTCTCTCTCTCTCCTCTTCCTTATTCTCTCTCTCTCTCTCTCCTCTTCCTTATTCTCTCTCTCTCTCTCTCCCCCACACTTTATCTTTCTGGAGTGCCAAGAAAGGTTTGTGTCTGAACTAGAATTCAAGAAACATAAAATGAGATTTGAGTGAAGGAACCAAGTCTAGTGAAAGATATGAGGTCATCATGACACAAAAGCCCAATCATGGAGCACCACATGAGAAACAAATTTGCTAACAATGGCTTGTGGGATAAATGCCCTAACCTTTGCTCTGTTACAAGTGCTGTTGGGTTTTCAGTCAATATTTCCTTGCATGTAGTGCCAACTTTTGTGATTGTTTCCTTTGCAAAAAGAAAATCCCAGAAAATGTCCATTGAAATTGCAATTAAGATATTTTCCATTTAAGGGAAATGTCTTCATTGCAATTAACAAAATAGATTTTTCACTTTTTAAATTTGTCAAGTTTTTCACTTTTGTTTTACAAACGGTGAAAAGAATTTTTGATTGTAATTTAAAGAACTATTTTTTTTTTTTTTGTGCCAAACACTGACTAAGCCAAGCGTTTCTGTTAAAATATTAGTTTCTAGATAGCAAGGTGAACATTTCAATCCAGTGTAAAGTCGATCAAAACCCTTACGCTGTTCCCAACTAGAATGCAACAGCTTCTGATGATTGCTGCCCTGTTCTCAAAGAAGATAAACCACTTCCCTAAAAGTAAAATCCCTTTTTAAAAGGAAAAAAATCCTCAATGAAGTTGTAAAGTTATAAAATGCCCTAAACACACCTCATGATAACTGATGGGTTTGTAGGAATCAATTCTCATCCACAAAATAAAATTACAATTTGGAAAAGATTTTTAGTTAAGAAAAAATGCTTTTCATCATGCAAAAAAAAAAAACATGAAGATCGAAGCTTTTTTTTTTTTTTTTTTTGTGCCATAAGAAAACCCTTTTATATTTCACAATTAAAACTGATACCCCCCCACTCCTCAGGCATTTACCATTTATCAAATATGCTGATAAAATGACACATATCAATTATAAGAAACACTTGGTACTTGATTCTATTAACAAATCCCATTTCTATTAAGTCTTCAATAGACATTCATGTTGGGGTTCAACTCTTTGCTCTCCAACTAGACTTAACAAGAGAAAAAAGGGGAAATTATCTAGTTTTTAAAATACACCAGCAATTTTAACAAATTTTGTGTATGTGCCACGTCCTTTAGGTTGTAGGTGATCATGACCCTTTGCTGATTCACTTTCTTTATTATTTAGGAGTTGCCATGACATCTTGAGAAAGATAATGGAGGGATTCTCGATTGCCTTCTGCATTGTTTTGAATTCAGAACCCAGCCTACCCTGCTATTTCACACAAAGATGGGGAGGAGAATGAATTCCTGCCCTCCCCAAGGGCATTAGAGCAAAAGTGGATGCAATAGACTTGGTCAGAACTTAAAACTTGGTTTGCCACTAATCATTCTACTCTACATGAATTCTTAAGACACAAATTCTTCCAATTTGCCGCTATTAGTTGTTGCCTAGGTTCAAACAGATTTTATTACTGCAGCTGACTGAACACAAGAATAATTTTGATTCAAAACAAAAAGAGGAGAAACTAGATTGCTTAAAAGTGCAGCACAATCTTTTCTTCGCAACTCTGTATGAGATCAGAGAGTAGTATCTGTTTTTCTCAATTCATTCAAAAGGAAAACTGGGTTGATTACAGTGCAGCTTTGAATTCCAATCGTTTTATTCTGTCTGAACAGTGGATATAAGCTATTTAATGGAGAAATTGCAAGGGTCTGCATATGTGCGTGCATCCTTATGTGTCTATTGACACAAGAAAAATTTTATTTTCCCAATTTCATCAACACCATTTTATCACTGATGTTACCTAACCTTTTTCTCTTCATTGACTCATATTCCAATCTGTAGATAAAAGACTATTATTTCATCAGGCTATAGTATGATCTATGAACAATGCTTTTTTTTTTTTTTTTTCTTCAATTGTGTTTGTAAGCCTCAAATTTCTCTCTGCTTAAAAGTTTCACTAATTGTTACCATATTTTGTATTTAGACTTCAGTAAGAAAACTATTGCCAATTCTAATAACTTTCAGTTCATCTTTTAACAAACATTAGTAAATTACAAACAGCTTTTTCAGTTTAAGATTAAGTTTTATGATAACTGAAAAATATGTTTGCTCTTGGTCTGCTTCAAATGTTTGATTAGGGTTCAATTCTTGATATTGGCATGTAAGTCTTCAGCAAGTCTCTTCAATGTGTTGTTGACGTCATTGATTAACTCTGGTCAAATGATTGGCCTTGATTGAAACCTTTGAATGAATATCTTGACTTTAGGCATTTGTAGCCAATGTGTTGTGGGGTTAGTATTTTCAGATGCTTACAACATCCACTTTCTTTCTGGATTCTGCTTGATAGTTCTTTAAGGAATTTCTGGCTGCCGGAATTTGGTTTTAAGGTTGTTGGAGCCGGGGGGGGGGTCAAATTGTTTTAGACTTGGTGATTTTTTTTTTCTGAGGGCGAAATTAAATTTTTACAATGGTATCCAAATAAACTCCCAACTTCTGCTTGCCGAAGTCGATTGATTCCTGGCATTCTAGCTTTAAGGACTTTCCTTATCGTTGCTGCAACATCATCTTCACCAGAGGAATGTTGGGACAAGCTGTATAGCCAAGACCAATGGGGACCCTTCTATTTCGATAAACTATTTTTCTTGCTGATATGAAAAGCATTTGAACAACAAAAAATCTTTTCATGACCAAGAAGAAAATATAAAAAGGGATAAAAAAAAAAAAAATGTATTTTGATAATGTCATTTTAAAAAAAATATTTTTCTTTAAAAATAATTTTTCCCCCCTTGTAAATTTTATTTTTAACACCCACTCCTATCATTCAGATTCCCATTGTTTATAAAAATAAATAAATAAATGGCTGATGGTCTGTGTTGGTGCAGTAGACGTCATATATCTGAAATCATAGATGTTTTTATATTTTGTATCTGATAATTCTCAGGTCAAATACTGGACAATCACTGATGTGTGTCATGCAACTGCCCAGTCACACATCGCCTATCTTATTGAAGGGTCCCCGGATGATCATACCCCCCCAACCCCCTCGAACACAATTTCCCCTTTTTTTTTCTTTTTTCTTTTTTTTTTTTTTTTTTTTGTGAGTGGGATGCTGAAAAGTTCTTAGCTTGCTTTACTGTCAAATTTGATCAGATGACTAAACACCAGATTTTCTTAAGTCAGGTCAACAACTTTTCAGCACATCACTTGTGTGGATATCTGTGTATGTATGACATACATACATACACACACATATATATAGTGAGTGTGTGTGTGTGTGTGTAATTGTTTTTAATAAGGATATATGCTTAGATATTGGCATACAAACATTTGCATGTTAGGTTCATGCCTTATTTTCTTAAGCAGAAGGGGAGATGCACTATGGTTGATGAAAATTTCCAACTCCATGCAATAATTTTAATAAACCTTAACACTTTTTTTTTATTTTTTTATTTTTTTTGTACTTTGTTTCTGAGATCCACAATTTAAAAAAAGGGGGCAGGAGAGGGGTCCCCCCTCCCCAATTTTTGTTTTTTTTTTTCTTTTCACAAAATTTAATCTACCAGCCTAAAGTAGAAATGTCAGATTCAATCTCCCCAAACACCTATTTGGGTGTTGTGCAGACGTTATTGTTCAACCTACCTCAGCAACTTTCATCTTTTTTTTTTTTTTTGTGTTTTCTTCATTGTCAGATTTGATGTTTCAAAGCTAAATGACAAAATTTCTTTGTATTTGTGTGTGCACACCCCCACCCACAAAAACCTATGGGGGTTGGTGGTGTGGCTCCTTTCACTGAACTAATTAAGTTTTTTTTTCTATTTTAAATTGAAGTTAAGTTCAATATTAGTGGATATTTTTATTTTAAATTCCACACGCCCAGTGGCCAGCCTTAAAACCTGGAATTTTTCTTTTTTGTACACTCCTGTCAAATTAGCTTTTTAAATCTCTACCCAGGGACACAACCTGTATAATAAAGTCTCAGGTTCCTTAAAAATCTCTGGTTATATTTGAACATAAAAATGGTCTGCTGGTCCCTAAATCAAGATCTCCAGCTGTAAAACAAATCCAATCCTCATAATTATTTTAGACTTTTTATAAATACAGACGTGTAACATCCGCATCCAATTAGAAATAAGTATTTTGCTTATGGTGCACAAAAACTTTGTTCTTCAACTCTGCCAGAAATGGCTTCTACCTATAAATTGAGAAATGAACACACCACTGAGCCCCATAACTAAATTCTTCTTTTTCTTTCATTTATTTTCTTCTTAATAGAGTTAATGGACATTAAGAAAATTGAATTGTATCTGAATTGGTCTCCAACTTAAGCAGATTTCTTCAGAAAAGATTGACCGATTGGGAAGCCATTCCCTAAATACTGGTTGTCTTCTTCTTCTTCTTCCAGTGAGTTTTATCCACTTTTTTTCTTTGAACCAGGATGAAGATGACTGGAATTAATTGACTGGAGCAGGAGGGGGAGCGGAGATGTTTTGTTTCAGTATTTAATTATTTTCTCTCTCTCTCTCTCAACTGTGAGAAAAATCTTGGCTTCTTGCAGATGCAAACCTCAAATTAGCTTCAGCAGCCCCTTCCCACACTTCTTTTCCACCCTACCCCATAACCTCCCCATCCTCATAGTGCTAGAATGGCTGCAGACACTCGACTTTGTGTCACTTTCTCGCTCGCTCTGCTATGCAAAAGAAAGCCAGAATTTGATTTGATGTCAAAATTACAGAATCTTCTTTCTGAAAAAAAAAAGGTTCCTGGGTTTGCCTCACCATTTTTGACATTCCTGCAGAATCCAGTGTATGAACAATTTGTAAATCATTATTATTATTATTATTATCCTGTGAGCATTAAATTGATTTGCCCATTTGACTTGTTTTCTACTTTTTTTTTATATATATATATATATAGAATTTTTATTTTTTTTTTTTATTTTTATCATGCTTCATATTATCAATATGCTCTTATTAAATTTTTGCTGTCATTATCCTTAATTTGATAACAGACAACAAATAT